AAAATATCAAATACTTTGGAATAAATTTAACCAAGGATGTCAAAGATTTTACAAGGAGAAATACAAAACATTAAAGAAAAAAATAGAAAAAGACACAAAAAAATGGAAAAACCTTCCATGTTCATGGATTGGAAGAATAAATATCATCAAAATGTCCATACTTCCAAAAGCAACTTACAGATTCAATGTGATACCAATCAAAATATCAAAAACATTCTTCTCAGATCTAGAAAATATGATGCTGAAAATCATGTAGAGACACAGAACACAAATAGCTAAAGCAATCTTATACAACAAAAACAAAGCTGGAGGTGTCACGATACCAGATTACAAAACATAGTACAGGGCAGTTATAATCAGAACAACCTGGTACTGGTTCAAAAGCAGATGGATAGATCAATGAAATGCCAGAAATCAACCCACACATCTACAACCAACTTATCTTTGACAAAGGAGCTAAAACCAATCCCTGGAGCAAGGATGGTCTCTTCAACAAATGGTGCTGGGAAAACTGGATCTCCACATGCAAGCATGAAACAAGTCCCCTACTTTACACCTTACACAAAAATCTACTCAAAATGGATTAAATACCTGAATTTATGACCCAATACCATGAAATTATTTGAGAAGACTGGGGAAACTCTGCTTAGGCAGAGTTCTCGGAAAGGACCCCAGAAGCACAGAAAATCAAAGCCAAAACTGAAAAATGGGATTACATCAAATTGAGAAGCTTCTCCTGCAAAGAAACACTCTGCAAAGTGAAGAGGCATCTGACACAATGGGAGAAATTGTTTGCAAACTATGTAACTGATAAAGGATTGATAACCAGTATATATAAAGAGCTCAAGAAACTCAGCAACAACAAAACAACCAATCCAGTTAAGAAATGGGCAAAGGACTTAAACAGGCATTCCTCAAAAGAGGAAATTGAAATGGCCTACAGACACGTGAAAAAATGCTCCAGATCACTAGCCATCAGGGAAATGCAAAAGCCATTATAATGTGGTCTTACCTCACCCTCCTTATAATGGCTTTCATACGGAAATCAACAAACAACATTGTTGATGGGAATGTAAACTGCTACAGCCAATGTGAAAGATTTATGGAAATACCTCAGAAATCTGAATATAAACCTACCATAAGACCCAGCCATCTCATTCCTGGGAATTTTCCCAATGCAAATAAAATCAGCATATGAAAAATTTATCTGTACTCCCATGTTTATTTCAGCTCAATTCACAATAGCTAAAATATGGAATCAACCCAAATGTCCATTAACTGAAGACTGGATAAAGAAATTATGGGATATGTACACCATGGAATACTACACAGTGGTAAAAATATGAAATCTGGTCATTTGCAACAAAATGGATGAAACTGCAGAACATCATACTTAATGAAATAAGCCATTCCCAAGGGCAAATGCCATTTATTCTCCCTGATCTGTGATAACTAATAGGGCAGCTAAAAGGAAATCTATAATGTGAAATTGATACTTTGAGATGCAATGACTTTGAGCAGCTCTTGTTTTCACTGTTGAGGAAGTTTTTTTTTCATACAATTTCATGAAACTTTACTTAGTATAGAGTTAGTTGTATATGTATAAATTTAACTGAAAATAGAATTTAGTAAAAGACAAGAATGGGAATAGGAGAGGTAGGAGGAAGAAGGGTGTGAGTGGGTGCAAAGGGTGGGTAAGGTGGGAAGAATCACTATATACCTAAAGTTTTATTTAAGAAATGCATGAAGTTTGTATTCCTTAAATAAATGGTTTCTGGGGAAAAAAAAAAAAACCCAAGGGAAGCCAAGTTGGTGATCAGCTGAAATTCACTGGGCAAACTAGAAGAGCATGTTTCTTAAGTTCACTTGGCAGTTTTAATTCTTTTATTTACTGAGAGTAGATAGACTACTATTTTTAGCATTATCTATTATATATATCAATCATATCTATCTATAGATGAACAAACTTCTGAGGAATTTGATTTTTCTTTAGAGTTAGTAACAGTTGTTTTCAAGTGATATTTATGTAGTTTTGATTGTGTAAGTAATATGAAAATAAAGTTAATATAATAAGCTCTTTAGCACTGTTGGTGCAAAGAAAGAGGTCTGAGCAACAGCCTTATTTACAAGGTCCATTGTCATTGTCATTTATTTAGACTCTAAAGTGCAGGTATTATAATATTGCTTTCCAGGCCTGGTCTCTGACCCTCTCCATATCCTATACAGAGTTAGCTGGTGTTGTAGTTTGCTCTAGATTCAAAGCCAGAAGGTGGCAGCCCATACCTGGAATCGAGCTTCTTATTTTTATTTAAGATTTTTTGTTTATTTGTTAGAGAAGTAGGGTTACAGACAGAGAAAAGGAGAAACAGAGAGGTAAAGAGAGGTAAAGTCTTCCATCCTCTGATTCAATCCCCAAAGGGCCACAACAGTCAGAGCTGGGCCAATCCCAAGCCAGGATCCAGAAGTTTCTTCTTGGTCTCCCACATGGGTACAGGGGCTCAAGCACTTGGGCCATCTTTTCTGCTGCCTTCCCAGGCCATAGCAGAGAACAATATCAGAAGATGGGCAGCCGGAACACGAACTGGTTCCCATACAGGGTGCCACGTAAGCCTACTTTGCCACTGTGCCAGCACCCTGGAATCCAGCTTCTGTGTCTTTCTGGAGAGTCTGCATGCTTCTTCTATATATTTGAGGACCTGAGTCTCCTCAATTCTGTTTCTTTAATGTATGAAATATCAGGGTACTTCAAAAAGTTCATGGAAAGAGGGAATGATAAGTTTATTTTAGTGCAAAAGTTTTTGAAATGCATGCAGGTTTTTTTTTTCATGATACACATTTTCCACGAAATTTTTGAAGACTTCCTCAAGCAACCAAAGGTTGTTATAAACAAAAATTAGCATCTATGATGTTGGGACATGGGGATTAAATTAAATTTTGGGGGAAACTTAATTTAGTGAATGAAAAGAAGGTGAATAATGTGCCAATTTCAAGTGTCAAAATGACCTCTGAAAAACACAGGAGGCACTATCTCCCTGTGATGGGACTAGGAAAGAAGTACTTGAGCCCCTGCATTCATGTGGGAGTCCCTGATGAAGCTTCTGACTTTCACCTGTCACAGTCCCCCGGCTGTTGAGGCCATTTGGGGAGTGAACCAGTGGATGGAAGATTTCTGTTTCTCTCTTTTTCTCTGTAACTCTGCCTTTAAAATAAAAAATAAATCTTTAAAAAGAAAAATGAAAAGCACAAGAAATATCTGTCCTTGTAAATTTCTTATGTCATTTATTTTTTCTGAATTTCAAAACAAATATTTCTTAAATTTATGATCTTTAAGTTAGAATTTGGCCATATTTGTTTAAAATTAGATAATTACAATTAATTATTTCTTTATGTTACCTGACTTTAATTATCATATGGATTTTTTCTAAAAAGAAAAATTATTATGTCACTTATTAGGGGTGAAACCAGTAGACCTTTGGTGATTAGGCCAGTTAAGAATTCATGGAGCATCTATTGTGTTTCAGGCAGCATTGTAGACACGTGGACTATGGTTGGAGCAAAGTAGGCAAATGTCTTCATCTCATGAAGCTTGTTCTTTTTTTGGATTAAAATCATAACCAATAAATAATCTTATAATGCACCAGGTGGTGATAAGATCCAATTTAATATAAAGCAGGACAAGCATCTAAGGAGTGAATGGGGAATGGGAAGGAAATGCTATTTTAGGTAGCCTTGTCAGCCAAGACCACCAGGCTTATTGCATTAGCTTTCTAATTGGTCTCTTGCTTTTATGTTTGCTTCCTTAGTGTCTATCAAAGCAGCAGTCACTCAAAATAGCTTAGATCATATCTCTTGTTGGCTCAGAACCCTGCAACCACTTCTATTTAGAAGAAAGTTCACAGTCCTGCTCTTTGCCTCCAAGGCACCACTTCCTGACCCCATTTCCATTTGTTTACTGCACTCCAGGCATTTGTTGTTTCTGAACACAACAAGTAGGCCCCCACCCCAGGGACCTTCACACCGACTTTCTCTTCCACAAACTCTCCTTTTGTTGTAGCTCCTTCACTTCATTTGGTTTGCCTCCTAACTGCCCAGAGTGGCACCCATGACCATCTACCCAATGTAGTATGCTGCTATCAGGTTTTCTCTGTCTTCCTTGCGTGCTTTTCTCTTAAATTTAATTTTATGCATTTTAATCTTGAGAGAGAGGAAGAGGGAGAGGAGGAGGGAGAGGGAGAGGGAGAAGAGGGAGAGGGATGGGGTGGCTGATGAGAGAGAGAGAGAGAGAGAGAGAGAGAGAGGTATTTTCCATCTGCTGTCCTGTCTCATTCTGTTTTATTCCCCAAATGCCTGCAACAGGGCCAGGGCAAAACCAGGAATCTGGTACTCAATCCAAGTTTCACACTGGGTGCCAGGGACTCAAGAGCTGACCCATCATCTGCTGCCCCCCAGACTGTGCATTCACAGGAATCTGGGATTGGAAACAGGAGCTGAGACTTGAAACAGGCACTCTGACATGCAGTCTACCTGCTTAGTTGGGTGTATGGAAACACACGCACCATAAAAGCAGAGATTTGAGCCCTTTACTCATGGTTCTACCATCCACCCCTGGAATATTGGCAACATAGCTCAAGAGCCTGATAGTTATCTGTGGAATGAATGAATGAAAGAATGAATGTGCTCTAAGGAGGGACTGCTGAATATTGGGGAGAAAATAACAGGCAGAAAAGCATCACCTTCTTGGGAGGTTTTAAAAGAGATCCCATGTTCGTGCTTTCCCATGATCCTAATTCTGTTTCCTGTTGTCCCCTAGTGTAACTGTTCTTCCTACTCCATTTCTGCATCATTGCTGATACTACAGAGAGTCTTTACCAATGAACACAAGTGCATACTATGGAGCTGCATATTCTAGATGGGAAATTTTTGTGATTACATTTCCAATTTCTAACATGTTTAAAATGGGTTGATTTGTGGTTGTGTTCTTTCTGTTTTTTTAACTGCAGCATCACCAAATGCCCCCAAACTTGGACCCATGGAGTTGACTGTTGTTATTATTGTGCCTGTTTGCCTGCTGTCCATAGCTGCCATGCTGACAGTATGGGCGTGCCAAGGACGACAGTGCACCTACAGAAGGAAAAAGAGACAGAATGTGGAGGAACCACTATCTGAGTGCAATCTGGTAAATGCTGGCAAAACCCTCAAAGATCTGATTTATGATGTGACTGCCTCTGGATCTGGCTCTGGTATGTGCTCCTTGTCCATTTTTGAGTCTCTTAATTGACAAAAACATTTTTAAACAAAAAACGGCCAGATACTATGAATCCCACAATCTGAAATGCTTAGTAGGTAGTACGTGGGAAACTCTGGTATGGCAACTTCTGCTAGGATTGATGAAGTAAAAAAACTGCTATGACATAAGAATTAAGTCTTCTCATTGCCTTTGTAGCTTGAGGCATTCAGATTCTCATTTTCAAACCGGTTAAGAATGCAGTGTCTCTTCTCTCATTCCTATCTTTCCCTGTTATGGCCAGTTATAATCACTGTTGCTTTCTTGGTAGTGTTTTATGGACACAAGAAAGTAAAAGTTACTGTATTTAAGGCATTGGGTTCTAGGGAAAAGACAGTAGTTGTGCAAAGTAATGTTCTTTGGGCACTTTTACTTGTAAAAGTTTTCAGAATCTGCCAGGGACCTTCTGAAGTGTGTGGAGTTAAGTGGGAATTGACCTGAAATTAAATTGAGACTAGGAGGGGTCTTCAACAAGTTTATGGAAAATATATAGTATGAAAAAACTATGCATGGATTTAAAGTTTTTTAACTTTTATTTAATGAATATAAATTTCTAAAGTACGGCTTATGGATTACAATGGCTTCCCCCCCATATCATCTCTCCCACCTGCATCCCTCCCCTTTCCCACTCCCTCTCCCCTTCCATTCACATGAGGATTCATTTTCGATTCTCTTTATATACAGAAGATCAGTTTAGCATACATTAAGTAAAGATTTCAACAGTTTGCTCCCACACAAACATAAAGTGAAAAATAATAGATGATTTTTTAAATGATGATGAAATCAGATCAGACCTATTGTCATGTTTAATCCCAGTGAGAGTCAAGTTGGGAATTGATAATTTCTTCTTCTTTTTTTTTTTTTTTTTACAGAAGATCAGTTTAGTATACATTAAGTAAAGATTTCAACCGTTTGTACCCCCATAGAAACACAAAGTGAAATATACTGTTTGAGTACTCGTTATAGCATTAAATCTCAATGTACAGCACATTAAGGACAGAGATCCTACATGAGGAGTAAGTGCACAGTGACTCCTGTTGTTGACTTTACAAATTGACACTCCTGTTTATGGCATCAGTAATCTCCCTATGCACCAGTCATGAGTTTCCAAGGCTATGGAAGCCCCGTGAGTTCTCCGACTCTTATCTTGTTTAGACAAGGTCATAGTCAAAGTGGAGGTTCTCTCCTCCCTTCAGAGAAAGGTACCTCCTTCTTTGAAGACCTGTTCTTTCCACTGGGATCTCACTCACAGAGATCTTTCATTTAGGGTTTTTTTTTTTTTTTTTCTTTGCCAGAGTGTCTTGGCTTTCCATGCCTGAAATACTCTCATGGGCTTTTCAGCCAGATCCGAATGCCTTTAGGGCTGATTCTGAGGCCAGAGTGCTGTTTAGGACATCCACCATTCTATGAGTCTGCTGAGTATCTCGCTTCCCATGTTGGATCACTCTCCCCTTTATTTATTCTATCAGTTAGTATTAGCAGGTACTAGACTTGTTTATGTGCTTCCTTTGACTCTTAGTCCTTTCATTATGATCAATTGTGAACTGAAATTGATCACTTGGACTGGTGAGATGGCATTGGTACATGCCACCTTGATGGGATTAAATTGGAGTCCCCTGGTATGTTTCTAACTCTACCATTTGAGGCAAGAGCTTGAGCATGTCCCAAATTGTACATCTCTTCCCTCTCTTATTCCCACTCTTATGTTCAACAGGGATCACATTTCAGTTAAATTTCAACACTTAAGAATAACTGTGTATTAATTACAGAATTAAACCAGTCATATTAAGTAGAACAGACAAAAAAAAAACTACTAAGAGGGATAATGTATTAAATTGTTCATTAACAGTCAGGGCTATGCTGATCAAGTCACCGTTTCCCATAGTGTCCATTTCACTTCAACAGGTTTCCTTTTTGGTGTTCAGTCAGTTGTCACCGGTCAGGGAGAACATATGGTATTTGTCCCTTTGGGACTGGCTTATTTCACTCAGCATGATGTGTTCCAGATTCCTCCATTTTGTTGCAAATGACTGGATTTCGTTGTTTCTTACTGCGGTATAGTATTCTAAAGAATACATATCCCATAATTTCTTTATCCAGTCTACCGTTGATAGGCATTTAGGTTGGTTCCAGGTCTTTGCTATTGTGAATTGAGCTGCAATAAACATTAGGGTTCAGACTGCTTTTTTGTTTGCCAATTTAAATTCCTTTGGGTAAATTCCAAGGAGTGGGATGGCTGGGTCGAACGGTAGGGTTATCTTCAGGTTTCTGAGGAATCTCCAGACTGACTTCCATAGTGGCTTGACCAGTTTGCATTCCCACCAACAGTGGGTTAGTGTCCCTTTTTCCCCACATCCTCACCAGCATCTGTTGTTGGTAGATTTCCTTATATAAGCCATTCTAATCGGGGTGAGATGAAACCTCATTGTGGTTTTGATTTGCATTTCCCTGATTGCTAGTGATCCCGAACATTTTTTCATGTGCCTGTTGGCCATTTGGATTTCCTCTTTTGAAAAATGTCTATTGAGGTCCTTGGCCCATCTCTTAAGTGGGTTGTTGGTTTTGTTTTTGTGGAGTTTCTTGATCTCTTTGTAGATTCTGGTTATTAACCCTTTATCTGTTGCATAGTTTGCAAATATTTTTTCCCATTCTGTCGGTTGTCTCTTCACTCTCCTGACTGTTTCTTTTGCAGTACAGAAACTTCTCAATTTGATGCAATCCCAATAGTTGATTTTGGCTTTGACTGCCTGTGCCTCCCGGGTCTTTTCCAGAAATTCTTTGCCTGTGCCAATATCTTGAAGGGATTCTCCAATGTTCTCTAATAACTTGATGGTGTCAGGTCGTAGGTTTAGGTCTTTAATCCATGTTGAGTGGATTTTTGTGTAAGGTGTAAGGTAGGGGTCTTGCTTCATGCTTCTGCACGTGGAAATCCAATTTTCCCAGCACCATTTATTGAATAGACTGTCCTTGCTCCAGGAATTAGTTTTAGATCCTTGATCAAATATAAGTTGGCTGTAGATGTTTGGGTTGATTTCTGGTGTTTCAATTCTGTTCCATTGGTCTATCCATCTGTTTCTGTACCAGTACCATGCTGTTTTGATTACAACTGCCCTGTAGTATGTCCTGAAATCTGGTATTGCTAAGCCTCTGGCTTTGTTTTTTGTTGTACAAGATTGCTTTAGCTATTCGAGGTCTCTTGTGCCTCCATATAAATTTCAGCACCATTTTTTCCAGATCTGAGAAGAAGGTCTTCGGTATCTTGATTGGGATTGCATTGAATCTATAAATTGCTTTTGGGAAAATGGACATTTTGATGATGTTGATTCTTCCAATCCATGAGCATGGAAGATTTTTCCATTTCTTGGTATCCTCTTCTATTTCTTTCTTTAAGGTTTTGTAATTTTCATCGTAGAGATCTTTAACGTCCTTGGTTAAGTTTATTCCAAGGTATTTGATTGTTTTTGTAGCTATTGTGAATGGAATTGATCTTAGCAATTCTTCCTCAGCCATGTATATACAAAGGCTGTTGATTTTTGTGCATTGATTTTATACCCTGCTACTTTGCCAAACTCTTCTATGAGTTCCAATAGTCTCTTAGTAGAGTTCTTTGGGTCCCCTAAATAAAGAATCATGTCATCTGCAAAGAGGGATAGTTTGAGTTCTTCCTTCCCAATTTGTATCCCTTTAATTTCTTTTTCTTGCCTAATAGCTCTGGCTAGAACCTCCAGAACTATATTGAATAGCAGTGGTGAGAGTGGGCATCCCTGTCTGGTTCCAGATCTCAGTGGAAATGCTTCCAACTTTTCCCCATTCAATAGGATGTTGGCTGTGGGTTTTTCATAGATTGCTTTGATTGTATTGAGGAATGTTCCTTCCAAACCCAGTTTGCTTAGAGTTTTCATCATGAACGGGTGTTGTATTTTATCAAATGCTTTCTCGGCATCTATTGAGATAATCATATGGTTTTTCTTCTGCAGTTTGCTAATGTGGGATATCACATTGATTGATTTGTGAACATTGAACCATCCCTGCATACCAGGGATAAATCCCACTTGGTCTGGGTGGATGATCTTTCTGATGTGTTGTTGCATTCTATTGGCGAGAATTTTATTGAGGAATTTTGCATCTATGTTCATCAGGGATATTGGTCTGTAATTCTCTTTCAGTGCTGCATCTTTTTCCAGCTTAGGAATTAAGGTGACTCTGGCTTCATAGAAAGAATTTGGGAGGATTCCCTCTTCTTCAATTGTTCTGAATAGTTTGAGAAGAATTGGAGTTAGTTCTTCTTTAACAGTCTGGTAGAATTCAGCAGTGAATCCATCTGGTCCTGGGCTTTTCTTTGTTGGGAGGGCCTTTATTACTGTTTCAATTTCTGTCTCAGTTATGGGTCTATTTAGGTTTTCGATGTCTTCCTGGATCAATTTAGGTAGATTGCATGTGTCCAGGAATCTATCCATTTCTGATAGATAGGTTTCCCTGTTTGCTGGCATACAAGTCCTTGTAGTAATTTCTGATGATTCTTTTTATTTCTGTGGTGTCTGTTGTTACGTTTCCTTTTTCATCTCTGATTTTATTGATTTGGGTCTTTTCTCTTCTTTTTTTAGTTAGTTGGGCCAATGGGGTGTCAATTTTGTTTATTTTTTCAAAAACCCAGCTCCTCGTTTGGCTGATTTTTTGTAATGTTTTTCTTGATTCAATCCTGTTGATTTCTTCTCTGATTTTAATTATTTCTCTTCTCCTACTAGATTTGGGTCTGGTTTGCTGTAGGTTTTCTAGATCCTTGAGGTGAATTGAAAGCTCATCTATTTGGTGCCTTTCCAATTTCTTGATGTAGGCACCTATTGATATAAACTTTCCTCTTAACACTGCTTTTGCTGCGTCCCGTAAGTTTTGGTATGTTGTGCTGTTATCCTCATTTACTTCCAGAAAGTTTTTGATTTCTCTTTTGATTTCTTC